CACACACCCTGCCCTGGTGAGGCAGAAGAGAGCAGAGGGAAGAAGGGCTCCGTCTGGGGGCTGGGGAGCGAAGGGAGCCATCGCCTGACTGCTCCAAAGCTTCTCCATCCATGTCTCCAGAAAGCCCTCTTGTAAGGAAATGGGAGGCTGTTGGGTGAGGGGGGGCTGGACTCCCCCCTGGCCCAGTTACAGCTTTGGGGCATCTTTGGGGCCGGAGGGGCAACTGTGTGGGAGGCCCTCATGAGACCCATTTCAGGCTTAGAGTGCCAAAACTAAGCCTTAGGAGAGGGGTCTGGCTTGCACTCTCAGTCTCCAGGAGACCAGCTCCAAAGCCCAGGCCGGGTCCCCTCAGAGCTCTTACAGTTTCTGTACACGGGTTGTCTGAACGGCTTCCCCTTGGAGAAGACCAGGGCCACCACGAGGCAGTTGATGGTGGAGAGGAGCCACACGGTGGTGTTCTCGTAGCTCTTGTAGCTGTCTTCGTCTTCCTCCCCGGGGCTGCCCTCCAGGGTGGCATTGGCAAGGGAGGAGAATTCCAGCTGGCTGGTGTTCCCGAGGCTGCAAGCACTGGAAAGAAACCAAGGCCAGCGCTGGATTCCACCAGACCACAAAGCCCATCTCACTCCAAGCATCGAGGAATCAGAATTGGAGATTCTGGAGGAGCAAAACTCAGGTGCAGAGGCTGCACAACCTTGACCTTGAAGATTCCCAAGGATAGAGGGAAGGCAGAAGAGGAGGCCAGTTGCTGGATCTGACCTCAGACCCTTTCATCCCTCGGCTTCTTTCCAAAATTGGCTGGAGAGGTATTTCAAGGCATGTTCACAGCCAGGAAGATGATAGACCCGCCCCCGCCCCTGATGCTGGTCCCCACGAAATTGTTGTCCAGAGGCACACATGGGTGTTCCATTGAGCTAACACCAGTCACTGCGTATTTTGGGCGAAATGGATCTAGGCCCTTTTTAGAAACCGTCTACACCAGAAGGCATGGAAGCGGCTTCCACAACTTTTCTAGACGTCCATTTTCCTGGCCTTCACGATCTAGCCATGATCAAGCTCTGTCCAATCTTCCACTTAAACCCACACCCAGAAAACTTTGTGGGTCTTTGTCCCATCGTCAGAGGACAGAGAGATCCAGGCACAGATTCACAAGGGGGGGGGCAGGACGGAGTGGGTTCTGCCAGCCCAGGCTCCTTGATTAGCAGGACCATTCTCTCTCTTGTCCAGGGAGCTCTTCCAACGTGAGCCACACGCAAGAACAGGGGATGAGTTGCAGCAAAAGTACCGAGGTGCAGAAAGGAGGGGAGACTGCGTTTGGAGAAACAGTCTTTACAAGCATCAAAGACTTGGGGGCAAACGCTTCCAAAGCATGCTCAAAGGAGGAAAGGCAAAAGAAAACCACTTCTCCCACCCATCACACCTCTGTGTGTGGCCGAAGGCTCCCCACCAGCAGTACCAGCACCACCACCGTCGGTCAGGCCGGCGGGGGGGCAGCCCACCCGGGAGGGCCTTCCTACCTGAGGAGGTCTTTGGGGTTGTACCACAGCTGCTTCTGCACCAGCAGGAAGCCGCAGATCTGTGTGGCCAGGCTGAAGAGGAGGTTCAGCACCACGGAGAGCAGCAGAGGGGGCGAGGTGAGCCGGGCTGGGGGCCTGTAGGGGACCAGCTTGGGGAAGGCGCCGTTCAGGCTCACTGCGAAGGGAAAGGGCAGACAGGGTCTCCTGGGTCTCCTCTCCTCGAATGGCCCAAGCACCCAGAGACATCGATGGTGTTGTCGGCAGGGGGAGAGGGGGCACTTCTCTTCCTGAAGAGCCCCGTGTGCCATTTGTGGGAGACACGGCCGTGCTCAGCCATGCCCAATGGAATGCGCAGTTGTAGACGACAAGTACAAAAACAATCCTCTCTCCGCAGAAAAATAGTGTGTGGGGGGGTGGCGTTCTGTTCAAGACACACCAGGTTTCTATGTGAAGGGCTTTTGAATCCCCCTACATAAAAAATGAAGGGATAAGCAAACCCTTTTCTGCAGGAAAACAGACGGGGGGAAGGTATCCTGCCGGGCACTCCTCCTGAGGTGCCCATTGGGTACAGAGTGATATCGTCACGGGGGGCCTCCACTGGTGTAAGAACCAGCTCAGCCAAGGCAGAGGTTAACCCCAACCCCAACCCCAGAACCCCCTCAGATACCTCAGGCCCAAGAAGCTTCCCAGTGGGTTGTCCTTATGGCCTTTTGCCCTTTGGGGCTTGGTGGTGGTGGTTGCCTGGCAGGGTGGATCGTTCCCCTTTTTTTTATCTGCCAGAATCTCCCCACTGAGCCAGAAGAGGCCTCTTCTCTGCTGGCAGGTGGGTCGGGTTAGGTGCAGGCTTTCCCCACCCTTGGTTTTAGTTTGAGCTTGGTGGGAGCTCCCCAAGAGGCTGGAGGAGGATGGCCCCAGTTCCCCCAGATGGCTGGCAACCTTGGAGGGCTTCTGTAAAGTTTGGACCAAAATCTGAAAGGGAAACACAGCTCACCAGCCACCCTTGGGAGACCGGGGGTGGTGGTGGGAAGGACGGGGACTCTGACCAGCTCCTCCTGCACAGCCCCAGATGCTCTTGGCGGACAAACGAGAAAGGAAGGGCTTACTTGTCATTCCGATCAGAGTGGTGATGGCCAAGTCTTGAAACAAAAACTGGTAGTTCCCAAAGGAGTTTAATTGCTGAAAGAGCAGGAAAAGGGATCCCAGTCAAGGCATCTGAGCCAACCACCCCCACCCTCACTTCACCCTTTCCGTGGCTAATTCCCACCCGTCCTTTCATACCTGGCATCCCTCCCCGTGCCAGAGCCTCTTACATTCCTCCCGCCTCTCCCAAGCCCCGGCTAGATGGGTCCCTGCTCTGGTGGGCTTAGCCCTGGCTTTAACCCCAGAGGCTGCCGCCATCCTCGACTGCTCCCCTTTCCTCTTCCAGAAGTCAAATGTCTCCTTCCAGCTCCCACATCCAACTGCCAGCCGTAGGTTGCAAATAGGGCATGCATGCCCATGGGCAGCATTGTTCAGAAACATGGCTGAATAAATTGGGGGGGAAGGTAGTCACTTGAGTGGGCATTTGCAGGGAAGAAGACCACCCTGAGTCCCTTCACTGGGAGAAAGGTGGGATAGAAACGAAGGAAGGAAGGAAGGAAGGAAATTTGCCAAACCTGGTGCTTGCAGCTGACCACTTCACTGCTGGGTGCCAACAGAGTATCTGATGCTACCAGAGTTCAGAGTGGGCCCCCTCCCTTAGTCAAAGAGCCAAGTTGGAAGGAAGGGGCCCTCTCTACCTGAGGGATGGGTCACCTGCCCCCTGTCACCTGCCCCCTGCAGCTCGAGCTGCCACAGGAGAAAGCACCCGCCCTGGCCCGTCTCCGTGACCGTACCCAGTAGAGCAGCAAGACTCCCACGTACTGGATGATGCTGTAGAGCACCATGTACTTGAAGGTGCAGAAGGAGGTGACGAGAGCAGCTCGGCCTTGCCTGGATGGGGTGGAGGTGGGGTGGGTGGGAGAAGCACAAGGACAAGTATGTCTAGGAGGGCTGTCAATAAAAACGGTGCCCGGCCAGGGCAGAGCAGCCGGGTGGCCGAGGGGGAGAGCTGAGGAGGCCGAGCCCTTCACGTTGGATCACACAATCAACTGAGGAGGAGGGGGAGAGATGAAGGAAGGGCTCAGCTGTGAAGCATCCCGGTTGCTGAGAAGGTCAGCCCTCCATGCCCCCGCCCCCCCCAAAAAATCCCCCCAAGCCAGCAAGGCTCCAGAGAGCGTTCCAGA